CCAAGTTGTTTTAATTTTTTTGCTCAATACATTTTATGTACATATAAAACGTATTTCTTTGTAGATTTTGCAGAAAAACGTTATTCAAAAGCAACCACAAAAATGTAAAGTTGCAGTTTAAGGATACTCGAGCTTCTTAAATCACCAAACGTTGGAGACCCGCTAATTTTTGCCTCTGACACAAGGCGATCTCCACCTCCTTCAGTCACAACTGTCTCGACTCCTATTCAAGACAGATGTGTATTCTTTTCATCAAAAGAAAGGCTAATGAACCAAATGAACCAACCACCCCTTAGGCTCAAAATTGACAAGCGCCTCATTCCACGGTATCCAGCCGTAGTTTGTTATTACTGCAAGGCTTTGATTGTTGTATTTATGCTTTTTCTTCGACAGGCATAAACTTTTAAAAAATCAATGCAATAGTTGCTGATATGGCTGCATATTCTTCTCAATGTTCACTCCTTTTAATAGAGTTAAGATAACAGTGACGATGACGACGACGACTATTATAATGATAACAACGATGGTATTGGCAAATAAGCAACAAAAAAAAGGCAATGTTGACGATGTACAACAGAAACACAAGACGATAGACGAGCAGTTGCTAAAATGCTGGAGAGAATGAACCAGGATGGGAAACTGTGTCCATATGAACCCGTAAACATAGACTTTTACTCCAAGACCACGCAGTTGTATGGCCACCGCTCTTCGCCTTCTGTGAAAACTTCACTACAAAACGTAAGCATCATGGCCCCCGTTATTACGCCCAACAGGAAGGAAAAAGACGCTATTGTAGTCTCGCTACAGTTGAGTGTGCAAGGCACCTTTCCCACGTTGGTCTTTTTTGGGCTCAAATTGAACGCCATAGCTCTATTCTGGAGTTTTATCTTAAAACACAAAACAGTTTTCGGACGAAATTGAGCCATCGGTTAAAGTTTAAAATACGACACACATTTTTACCTTAGTCTGATATCGATAAATTAATAAACAAGGTGGGGGGAATTGTTTTGAAGATATTCAAAGCGTCTGGCTGTTGAAAGGCGAACAATGTGTTGTTCTTGTGTTGCTCTTCTGAATATTTTACGAGAGTGGGTGTACAGTCTTTAACATAAAACTCCAGCGCAGTTAAAAGAAAAGTACGGTAGAGAGCACGGTCTACGATAGTACGATACAAGTCTATGCCCACCCATAACAAACACCACCGAGCTGCAAATAAAAAGAACGCATCACAACAGACTAAGAACTGAAGACGCTGGAAAAACTGAATGTTAATAAATAATTCATTATGTCAGTAATCCTTGTAGTCCGAATCGTGAGTTTTACGTTGATCGGCTGTCTGCAAAGTCAGATGATTTAAGATGAATAATTGAACCAAAAAAAAACAACCCCTAATAAATGTGTGAATAAATTATAGGAATAAATCAACAAACAGATAAACGCAAGCAGTAGAAAAGAATCAGTTATTTAAAAGGAAACTAAAACGATCTGTCCAGTATCTACTCAACGTATTAATTTGTTTTAGTGTAAGTCAGTGTTTTCAACCTCTATCGACGCAATCTAGATTATTAAGGAGGCTGGCTTTAACCCTGTCTGTTAGGGAAATACCCGGAATGAAAGGTATAAAACGTCTCAGCAGAGAGACCAATACTTGACAAGTAACTTTTCTACACGGAAATCGAACTCGGGTCTTCTGCTGCCGATAATGAAGAGCCTAACATCTACACCACAGACAACGGTTATCTAAATTAACTGTGAAAAATAAAAATCAAAACAAAAGAAGAAAAAAAAAGAATCAAAATCGAATTAATGACAAATGGATATGACACATCCAGCGTACGACTTCAACATAATAATAAATATTAAGTAATGTCTTACTTCTCTGCATGCATCCTTGGGTCCTTCCATCTACAGGGCAATGGGTAAAGTGAAACGGAGGAGTAACCACCCAGTTTTTGATCACAGACGAAAAACTACAGAGTTTTTGGGTCTGTCTTTATTAATTAATTTATAAATTCCGACGCCTGTGGTGTTGTATGCAGAAGACGTGAGTTTGATTCTCTAGTGGGGAGTGGGGTGGGGGGGGGGGGGAGGTGGGGGAGAGGGATGGTGGAATTTTGTTTTTTTTAGTATCTTTGTTTCTCTATTGAGACGTTGTATCCCGTTCAGCCTGTCAGGCAAGGTTACACTTCCATTTCACTTTAAGTTTGGGTAGGGAAATAACCAAAGCGACTCACCCACTTTCTCTTTCAAAGCAGCAGCAAACAAAAAGCCGTAATAATTGTGTAAAAGCAAAAAAAAAAAATAAAAAAATGAACAAAAGAAAGTTTTTGAATTCGAGCAAAGACCTTTTTTTCCCCAACGCATTATGTCGGAGCACTGTAAGAACATTCCATTGAAATTTAGACAAGAATGTATCAGGGGATCTTAGGGTGCAAAAAAAAGTTTTAAAGGACACAAATTAACAGAAAATAATAACCTACTTTTATACTTGAATCGCTATGTATTGTTTTTTAAATGCTAATGTTATTATTACTAATGTTGTTGTTTTGTTGTTGTTTTGTTGTTATTGTTGCTGTTGCTACTGTTGTTGTTGCTGTTGTTGGTTTTGTTGTTGTTGTTGATGATAATATTGTTTCTATTGTTTGTCATGCACTCAAAACAAACACACACTGTTGGGAAGCAACAGACGAGTTGATTAAACAAACACCTTAAGAAGCTGGATACCGACGTAAGTGTGAGTGCCTGTCGGGATAGAGAGTCCCAGCTCCGCCACTTTGGGGAACTCTTTCCCGTCGTGGAGTAATATCTTGATCCCCGCGGCGTCGTGCGGCCCCGGCATGTATTCATACTGTTCCACGTTCAGCGTCAGCTTGAGTCCATACTCAGCGCCTGGAACACAGTGAGTACTATTACTATATAATAATCATAATCATCATCATAATAATAATCATAATCATCATCA